ACATATGTACAGACTGCAATAATATTCAAAAGGCTATTCATTATCAAAACATATAGATGATGGCACTCAACAGATTTCCATCAAGATTTTCAAGCTACAATATCTGATTTTTAGAAGTGCAGTTAGATGTTCAAGGAGCACTCCTCATTCAGACTATCCTTTCATGTGTGACTTCTGACCTTTCCCATCCCTTCAAACGAAGCTTTTCAAGCTCTCTTGGCTGCTTCTTTTTTCTGCAAGAAGGACCCAAGCTGCAGCACATCGCTAACAAATTCATTAACTGACCTGTAGGGGAAAAGCAACTCTTCACCTTTCTCCTTAGTTTTAACACTAGTTGGCTTACCCTCGACAAAACACAGCGAATTGCGTAGGAAGTGTGAAGCAGTCGTCTCCCTTTAAGACAGCTGTAGCTTTATGAGCAGATCAGACCACAGCCTGTCACTGTACGTACCAGGGTACCTATGCACGATGAGAAACCAAAGGGCAGCACGTCAAGATGATCTTTGACATCTCTTTATACTGTGGGTTTATGTCATACTCAATCACTGCAACTGCTTCATTTTTAAATGGGATTTTGAACCTTTAGCATAGTAAATGGTGATAGGAAAAGAGTATCCTTCAAGACGGAGGATCGTAAGAACATACGCCAGAATAATCACATTAAATACTGCTGTCTGGTGCAAGCCCCTTACCCATCCCCCTGTTAAAAACAATAAAAAGCCCTTCTGGTAACACACATCCCGCCTGTGACTGATCATATTTGTCATCTGAAACATTGCTTCGGAGGGGCTTTGAGTTGCTTAAGGGGTCATTTGTAGACAGAAGAAGAAAAAAATAAAGTCTGTACTTAAATCTCTCTGATCAGCAGATTTCCGTGTTCAGTTTTGCCACTCTTTCAGTCACAAAATTCAAGCAGCATTTCTAAACTGCCATCATTCAGAGATTCCTTTCAGTGAAGTAACACCTCCACAACTCAAAGCTACCTGATACCCAGTCTTCGAAATTACAGTTAAACACGGACTCAGTTATAAAGATGCAGCTTGTATTTCACAAATCTGTATTTCTTTAACAGTGGCAGTCCACAAGATGTACACACACAGGAGAAGGTACAGAATAAATTTATGCTCAAAATTTTGCACATAATAGAACAGTTATGAGACAAAAAAAAAATAGTTTCTTCCTCTCTGGCACGTATTTCCACATTAAGCATATTTCCTCTTAGTTTACTTGCAAAAACTGAAATTAAAACAAGTATCTGCTAAACGCAGATTTATTCCTAGACTTTTGATTCGCTCATTTTATATAGGCACATGATTACATTGCAGCAGTTTTGTGACGGTACCTCTGTATGCATGTAGCAGAGTTGTAGCAGAAATAAGAAGGAAAAATACATTGTGGTGCTGTTCTGGCGTGAAGTCCACCCATAGTTTTACCACAAATATGAACTCAATTATAATTCTGCTATACATTTTTCAAGCACTTCGGATCTGGTAATCCTTCATCAGATGGATGTTTCCACAAACCACAGTTCTTAGTGGGAATTTCATGTATAGGAAATGCTGTGAACAGGAGCTGCTGCAAACTGTCTCATAAAGACTCTACTATCCCTTCTTGCCTTTGTACTGTCCTCTGAACTTGTTCTTTTCTCCTCTCTCCTTCTTCTGTTAAATTTCATGGTTTCCAATTCTTAGTATTCACTGTATACACTTGGAATAATGCTTATTTGAAGTAAGTTACTTGAAATTTTTTCTCTCCTCCACTGACAAAAATTTTCTGCAGTGCTCCCATTCCATCTGAAGAACTTGAACATACTTATTTGCTTGATTTTTTTTACAACTCACTTGCCTCTTATTGCAGTGCCCCAGTTTCTGCCAGTTTCATGTATTGATGTGATGGCTTTGGCCCAAAAGTGACATAATGCGAATAAATTCTTGCGATGTAAAACACCGCGGTAGTGAGGAGCTAAGCACTCACCCCCGTTATCACAACAGTCTCCCTTCCTCCTGGTGCAAACCTCGGCTTGTCAGCCTGCGGGCTCTACTGACTTTTTTGCAATCCTGCTTCCTGCTGCTCGGCAGACAGAGGAGAGGTATTAAGCAAAGCGTTTCAAAGTCTTGTCTGTAAATCTCTGGATCCCATAACAGCAAAAGCTGATGAGAAAGTTCAATCACCACTGAACAGCAAGTCACCTCAGGAACACCTCCTTCCTTCTGCAAGATATGTTATTTACATTCTGCCTTTCCAATTGGAGTTTCAAGAGAGTGTGAGGTATCCCAAAGCTTAAATGGAACCGACTTTGGAGAGACTTCTGATCTAAAGTTTTTAAACGCCCTTAAAACAAGGACTTGAAGATGCCAAATTATACAAGCACCCCTAAAAACACTATTCCACATTGATTTTGTTTTCTGAAAACTGTCTTTTTTTAATTACAATTTTAACACTTTTACACACTCACCTGTGTAATTGGAGGGGGCATGGGTTCATGTTCCTTTCTTGTTCTTTTATGGGTTTATTATTTTCCCTCACAGCTCCTCCTTTAGAGTCAGATGTTCTTTGCCCTTGCCTGTGGTGTTGTTGCTGTGTGCTACATTTCACATTCCATGCCCATTTGCTGTTTAGCCCACAGTTCTAGCAAGAAGCTGACGTCTTGATGCAGTTACCCTGTATGCTGGGATGTATGTGGATGGAGGCAGATGAGACACCAGGAAGACATCCCTGGAGTTTTCACTGGGTCCGAGTGCACCAATGTTAACCTGATCTACTATTGGTTCAACTTTTGAGTGTCTTTAAATACATTATGGTTTATTTCAGTAATTTTAAAAAACTATTAAAATAGACATTTGACCTTTTATTAATGTTTTAGAAACCTGAATCACACACCTGGTCAAGAAACTGACCAAGGGAAGTGACTTTCGTTTCTGTTAAGGAGGTTTCCAGTAACCCCTCAGTCTCAGTGACTTCCATTGCTCCATCAATGAGACACAGTCACTTTCAACTGTCTGTGCACTAATTCCTTTCTACCCAGTGATCTTTAGTATTGCCAAATACATAACGTTTAATGAATAATTAAAATTGTTTCTACGAATTATATTTAGAAAGATTATTAAACATGTACATTTCCATCCAACAAACTACATGAGCATTCATTTGAAGCATTTTGTTGGATGAAGGCTACTGGTGACAATGTTTTCAGAGTCTTAAGAACTAGGAACTAAAAGGAAAGTACAAGAAAACTTCAATATTTGGAAGAATCTTTATTAAACATTTTAATACAATACTCAACAGTAAAAAAAAAAATCAAGTGATGCACATGGAGAGTTTTCTGGCAGGGATCTCAGGCAAGGGATGTAGTGAAATTTACACTGAATTTCAAAACATCCTTATTTATTACTTTTCAAAGACTTATTTAGAAAAAATGTACAATATCAATATCTATCAGAGTTGTTAACAAAAATCTAAAAATAAAAACATTTCCTTCTAATGTTTTCATACACTATATACAAGAAAAGCAAAAAGAAAAGCCTCCAATTTAACCCCTAACTTCTGAAATTGTTTGGATACGGCCAGTGTTTAAAGTTTTATAATATTCATTTAATAAGTTGTTATAACTATTTTTTGCTTATGCATTTATTCAGATTCAGGCAAGCTTTCATAGCCAGTACTGCTCTTTGGTAAACTGCTTGTTCAATTCCAAAGTTGATTTTTTCATACTTTTTAAAGGAAATATCCACTAACCACTTTTAATATTGGTTCTCCCTATACACCAATCAATAAAGAACAATCTCCTGGTTTACAACATACAAATCCAGTATAATTTTTTTAGAGTACCATAAAATTACCAGAAGACATTTAGATGAAAATTTAAATAACAAATTGCATAATTTACTAAACATCCCTGAAAAATGAAAAAATAAAATGTTCTCTACTATCAAAATAATAATCTACTTACAAGTATTCCATCTTGCTTCTGCACTTCCTTAGAAAACAGCTGTTGTAAATACTAAGTAATTTTGCTCTGATGGAAAGCATTTCATTTGACAGGGATTTCTATATCAATTATCCTTGGAGAAACATACCGAATGAAAACTAAAACCACAGAGTAATTTTTCTAGTCCAGCAGTAATTTCAAGTCATGGTATCACTAGATCAGTTCTGTATCTCTAAATTTAGTCATACAATCTGATTATGTAAGACAGAAAAGGCAGATCTGGGCAGTGTAATCTGACAGTAAATTTAGCCAGATATGTGAGAGCCTTTGGAAACTCAGACCCAGCTAATAAGTATGCTCACAGCTTTGGTGGCCAATAGGACCATCTTAAAACTCATTATGATCTAGCAAATGTCAGTATTAATTTTACTTTACCCTACTTTCACGGCTTGACTTTAATTTTAGTGATAATTGTTACATGGTCACATTCATAACTCCATCAAAATCTATAGTAACTGGTACACATAGCAGTTACCTTAGCATGATTAACAGGAGGAGTTCTGTCTAAATGTACATATTGGTGCAAAATCAAAGAACCCTCTAAAACCAGACAACTTCCCTGTCTAACTGGCTGAGAACAGCACCATATGCTTGCACAAAGTAGTCTGAAAGCTCCTTTCCCATGCTGACATCACTTACTTTAATACAGAAATGAACAAAGCAGCATCATTTTGCCTATATTTTCTGAGTAAAACTTGCCAGTTTAGAGTAACTTCATCACTGCCTTTTTGAAGGACAGATGGCTACTAGATTGCTTCCATCAACCTGAGCCAAGCAGCCTCCAGTGAAAAGCTTAACAGCTCCACTTGCACTCAGATCATAAGGCTGTATGCCAGGAAAGTAGTAAATACATCAAAGCGCAATTCCCATTCACATTAATATACAAACTACAACTTCATACATATGAGTTGAGTTCCTATGGAAGGAACAAAGATTTTTTTATACAGTCTCTGATCCCCAAAACCCCCAAAACTGGATTCTTATTGGATCACTTCCTACTGGCAACACATCACTATACAACATCTTCAGCAACCGTAGTGTCGAAAATTTGGTAATAAACTTGATGTTTCATCGCGTCTCTGACATTGTAGGACTTGATGAAGCATTCCAGCCATGGCAAGTCATCTACAAACAAATCCAAATTACTGTTTAATATCATTTCTAACTTTTACAGGAGAGTAGTTTAACTTGAGCAGGATCTCAGCTAAGATATCTAAATGTATACACATCAGTTAATAGGAAGAAAAATGAATTACTAATTTTGAAATTCCAATGTGTATCTTAAAACTTCTGGCACCATCTGAAACAGTGTTCAGTGACCATCTTTCAAGCCTCGCCCTCCATGCCCCAGTGCCCCCCCGAAACACTTGATACCAGTAGTTGTACCACATATATAGTATAGCACATATATAAATATTTTCTAAAAATAAAAATGCATCTCCACGTGTCTCAATGAGACATTTCATCAGTCTCAAAGGGAACATCCTTCACACCCTTTACTAGAGGACCACTTCTGAAAAGTACGGTAAAGACTCCAGCGTGGTTGTATGGTCACTGACAGTCATGTACTTAAGAGGAAGTGCGCTCTGGAGGCCGGGGCTGCAGCAGAGACACACAGCTACCTTGGACGTGTGTAGTTTAAGCAGAGCTACTTTCTGCCACAACAGAAATACTGCACAAAACCTGTGACTGGATTGGGATTAAGTTTTTGCGCAATTTCCATGGATGTTTCCTGTAGCGAGGGACGCTCTAAATCAGCATGTGGATTCTGAAGGAGAGTCTCATCCAAAGCACGTGCCATACGCTGAATTCCCTCCCAGTTCTCCCTAACGTGCTGAGGCATTCAGTACGAGGGTGTTCCGGCTAACTTCCATACGAATACAAATGACATGTTAGTGTCTGCATAGACATGACTGCATTCACACATCACTGCATGCTACACGAGAACTTACTGAACCATTACCTCTCTCTCAAAATGCAGTTCTACTATTACAGAAATGTATCAAAACAAATTAATTGGAAGTCTCCTTACTGACTCCTGCATTTCTCTGTTCTGAGTTTTGCCCATGCATAAGTTGAATCCTCAGACTTTGCATATGCAATAGCAGATTGAAAGCCCCTTTCCCTTCCCATGTCCCTTTTAAAATAATGCCAAGCTGACCTAATTTTCTTCCTGGAGGACAGAGTGTATCCATGGTCATCTGCATCTTCTGCTGAAGAAAATTGTTAGTTAAGATTTCAGAGGCAGGAATTTGGAAAAACTTTTCCTGAAAAAGAAAAGGAAAGCATGAGGTGTTGGAAAAGGAGTAAAAAAATCATTAGCCAGAACCCTGACTGCATGTTCTTTTGTCGTTTAAGGAACTTAAAATTATCCACATAGGTACCACAACAGAACAACAACATTGTTTCTAAAACTGTTCAGCTACAGAATAAACCCAAACTGCCTGAAAAAAATAACAGTCTCTATTTCAGTACATACGTAGGTCTGTCTACACAACTGGCAGATATTCCTCATAAACCTCCACAACCAGATAGTGTTATGGCCCGAGAGGATGGTCAGTCCTCCTCAGCAGCTGCTCACTGCAGGGAGCAGAACATTTTGCGAGGGACAAAGACACTTGAAAACAAGGGGGCGCTGCTACCTGGCTTCTCACAAGTGGAACTCCCTTAGTTTGAGTTTCATTTTTTGCATAGTTTTGGAAACTATGGATAAAGGCTTATACTGTGGGATACACTTCTGAAAGGAGAAGTAAAATAAAGAATGGAACACTGAAACATCAAATAAACCTTTTCTGCATATTTTTAAACCATATACAGTAAGCGTGACTGACAAAACTCCCGTTTTATTCTTTCCAAGTTTGTTAAGTGATTTTGTATCTCTAAAGGCTTACAGCTTACATCTTACAGCTTCTCAAAGTGAGCCAAGGTTTTTGATGGCAATTCCTCCTTTTTGTTAAAAGATACACACACAGAATAATCTGCCTTTGTATAATTTTTGTGTGACACATTTAATGGAAGTGATCAGAAGTTAGCAGATAATCCAGCAGCAAAAGTGATACAGATAACTACTTTTTCCTCTCTTCCAATTCTTCTTCTGACTATAAAACTTTTTGATTTTTTCCTTCAGTGACTTTTCCTATGAACAGGAGAGGAAAGAAAAGAACTGAGAGCATTCTTACAGAAGTATGAATGCAAACTAGTGTAAAGCTGCACTTCAAAGTAGCCCAGTTCCTTCTCAGGAGGTGCTGAAGAGTTCAGGCTTGGAAAGTATTGGCTTGTCTTTGAAGTACCACCAGCAGGAAAATAGCAGCTGGCACTTCAGAAGAAGAATTTTTTTTTTCCTGCTAAGCTGTAGTACTGAGCAGTATCTGCTAAGAATCTGAGCTACCCTGAAGTAGAGCTTTTTGGAATTCCGCATGAAGAGACGGTTTAAAAGTCTTTTCCCCCACCTTCCTTTTTCAGTTTAGTTTGTTGATATAAAAAGGACGGTAGAAGGAAAAAATGACTAGCAGAAATAGGGACTGAAGTCTTTGACTTCCTTTGCTGCCAATACACTCTTTTATCAAAACATACTTACATTTTTTTCCAATATTATTTTTACTAACAGTCTTAAAATCAAGTAAGGAAGAGTATTCCCTTCAAAGTTCCATTCAAAGTAATTTAGCACAAGGGTGCACAATATGTGGATATTTACATATTAAATAGCATTGCTGGGGGAAAAAAAACCCAAAACACTGAATTGTTTCCCTGTCCCATTTTGGACAAAGTTATAACATACAAGTGCCACTACACTGACTCTTTTCCACTTGAGTAGATAGATTACTACAGATGCGTATTGTGAGATCCTGACTTTCCCAGCTATGAACTGCTGGAATAAGAAAAGACACAAATGCACTTATAGAAGGAAAAAAGGCACAACGTAATACTAATCTATTCTCTTTTCTCTTTCAGTCCTGCCTAGGTTCAGGGGAAGGAAGGCCTCTTCTACCTCATGGTCATACGAAACAAAAATAAAGAATTACTGAATGGATAGTTTCTACTGAGAATTAAAAAAACAGGTAATGACATTTTAAACTAATCCAGAAGTTACTGGCATAAATCCTGAAACACTCCCATCATTCACACGGCATTCAGGCTGCATAATTTAACATTGTCAATGAAAGAGAAATTCAGCCATGGAAATGTATAAAAGTCTAGGGAAATATCAAATCATCCATCTACAAGCTTCAGTTTTGTCTTTATGCTTTGATATTCTATACTCTGATATTTGATTGGAAAACTAGTTCTGTGCATCTTCATTGACGGACAGTATTAATGACATTACAGGACACAGTAACTGTCCCTGCAAAACACTGCAGGCAACACAGAATGAATATTTCTGTACATACATTTGCTATTTTAAAAACAAATAAAATCCAAACCCACACAATCTGTGGAGTCTACCTTTACCTAGATTTACTTACATAATCAAAAAGGTATGCATTTAGCGCTCCTGTTCCATCAACCAGTGTAAACTTCATAATAAAAACATACTGGAGCAGCTCAATACCTAAAACTGAAGAAAAAAATTTGACTTGTTTTTTTAGAGTGAATATGCAAGCCAATTCGTAACAACTCAAGCTGACAATATCCCTCCTTTAATAGTAACTGGCTTTGAATACTGTCATTAAAAGTATAAATTGACAGGCCAAAAACCAGGCATTCTGAATAGCAAAATGTGGTTCGTATTTTGAGAGCACATTGCGATTTGCCTGGAAGCACTTTAAGAGATGAGTCTATAAAAACGCAGAAGGATTTTTAGGTACTTATTCTCATCCTAGTAAAAGGAATGCTAATATTTGCTTAGATCTTAGATCCTACCTTGGTAGGATCCTCCCTACTCCTGTTCTTTCATCCGTGGAAGATTAAAGGAGACTTGCTTTTAATTCAGTGATTACAACATAACATTCCATCTCAAAATATACCTCTGAGGAAGACAATTTGTTTCATATGACGTAGTAAAAGTTATCAAGCAAAGTCTTACTCAGAAAAACTTTGCTGGCAGAAAATATTCCAGCACAAGTAAATGACTATAGTCATTCTCTCCCCAGCAGCAGTAATTGTTATGCTGCAAATATAAAATATCTTAAAGCACAAAGTTACTGCAGCTCTGCATCAGTCTTTTCTGGGTATGTCTACTTAAATTGGCTAGTCGTTTTATGTTCAACTGATCTGAGATACTTGCAGGTTACCATTTAGCCTGAAAATACAGATGATAAAAGAATAATATACATGAAATAGTTTCAATGCCAGCATTTAATAAATATTGTTTTCATTTTGAGAATTAAATGTCAATGGTAGGTGCTGTAACACTGCCAGTTATGTATTACTTTACATTTATTTAGTAGAATATAATTATGATAGTTTACTTAAGAGAACCATTGTATTGCTTTAATAGTTTTTTTCTTTTATGAAGTATTTACCAAGCTTAGATACCGCTAGATATTCCAACTTAGATGTTAGAAAGTGAATTGATAAACATGAAAGTATTTTTTTTCCTTAATGTATTGTGAAGTTTTAAGCTCCATTTTACCTCCAGCATTTGAAATTGTTGACTACATAAAGTAACACATGGAACACACGAAGCATGGAACACATATATGTTATGGTATGATTCCTTTCATTTGAATATTATTTCTTGCAGAATCTCTGGAATATGTTTAGCATTGAGAAGGCTTACAGAAGACAGAAGTCTAACTTGTACTAGTCATTAAATAAGACTCTGTTTAGTTCAGGTCAGAAAAACTGTATCTTCGAAAGTAAGACTAACTTCTAGGACTGCAAGCATGTACACAGTTTAAAAATTACATCCACAACCAAAAATTCATCACATCTGTACTACAATAGGTGTTACCAGTGACACCTATGGTAGAAGAAACAATTCAACATACAAAATCCTTTAATTCATGCTGTAATGGTTTCAAAACTAAATATTCTATTTCAATTCGTAAAAGGTGAATAAATTTTACAGCTTTATACTCAAGCACAACCATAAATTACATGCTTTCTGTACATAACTGCAACCCTGAAAACAAATTTTCATATAAGCACTTCAGAATCAAGGCACAAAAGTATTTCAGAACAATATCATGTTAACTGACCTTGTGCTATTTCAGTTGGTTCCCATGATGGTCCTTGTTCTGCTGCAAAGGAACTTAGACTCTTGATAGGCTTTGGAGTTGAACACTGCTTGCACCTAGCATTTAAAACAAGAAACTGAGACTAATCAAACACTGATTTATTTATACTAGAAGCTGTCTGCACAGAAAAAAATAAAAATAAAAATTCTTATTTCCTTACTCAGTGGGAGTGCAAAAGTAATACTCTATTGCTATTGCTGTTTAAAACAACTATTTTCCCAGCCACACAAGCTTTAGACCACATCAAAACCCTTAATGCTGCTTTTCGATTATCCCCGAGAAGAGAAAAATTGGTTTGGTCTGCTAAAGACCACCTCAGTGAATAGAAAGGAGGAAAACTGTACATCAAGGCTGAGTTGGGGTTGTTCCGCCTGGAGAAGAGAAGGCTCCGGGGAGACCTTGTTGCGGCCTTTCAATATATAAAGGGGGCTTCTAAGAAAGACAGGGAGACTTTTTACCAAGGCCCGTAGTGACAGGACCGGGGCCAAGAGTTTTAAACTGAAAGAAGGTTGACTTAGATTGGACATAAGGAAGAAATTCTTTACTGTGAGGGTGGTGAGACCCTGGAACAGGTTGCCCAGAGCAGCTGCGGCTGCCCCCTCCCTGGCAGTGTTCAAGGCCAGGCTGGATGGGGCTTTAAGCAACCTGGTCTGGTGGAAGGTGTTCCTGCCCATGGCAGGGGGGTTGGAACTAGGTGATCTTTAAGGTCCCTTCCAGCCCAACCCATTCCATGACTCCAAGATCACTACACTGCTAAGCATATGTTGCATATGTCACTGTAAACACATATTCATTTGTCACTGCTTTCAACATCTGACTTTGTAAAAGCAGAAACGAATCTGAACTTTTAGCACACTCTAAAAAACACAACAGGTAAGAGGAGAAATTTGGCTTTACTTATGTTAAAAATATTAACCATGAGTTATTAAAAAAATCCTCCTTTAATACAGGTGTATTTACACCAGTAATTATAAATTTTATATGTGACATAGTAAGCAAATGCTGCAAGTGGATGAAAATACTGAAGAACTGTTCAAAGTTTGCCTCGAGAAATAAAATTACAGAACAACTATTTTGTCCAAATTAACCTTCTGTGCTAGTATATTACAGTTAGAACTTAAAATAGATGTTCACTATCTTTTAGAATTATATGCAAAATGTGTCATAAAAATCAATAGCACTATTTCTGCTCAAGTGATATAAAGCCAAGCTCAATGAAGGTACTTTTTTCCTTTAAAAACCCATCCAAACCGCAATAAAGTAACTCCGCTGTGAATTTTGGCTTTTTTTACATGCAAGTGTGGTTTTTAAATTTTTTTATATATATATGCATGTATGAATATACATGCACATACACACACATATAAATATTTATACAGGTATTCAAGCTCGTTCCTACAGCAAAAATAACTTTGCTTTTCATTCTATACAAAATATTTTTTAGACTTTGCTAAGTATATGCTACTGATAAAAAAGCACATGGAGCAAACCTCTGAATTGTCAACATCCTTGTGAGGCTCCTTCCTAAATATCCTATAAACAGTCAATCATGAATATCTTATAGAGTGTTGGCTTTTACAATACAGCCATTTAAACAGAGAATGATGTCTGAAGGTGAGTTGCGCATAGCTGGGGAAATACATGGATTATGAAAGTGCAAGGGGAAATACTTTGTACTGGTGAAGATCCAGTTCTGGTAGGAATACCCATATATTGCCTTTATTTAAAAAAGCTGTGGACAGTCATATCTGGAAAGGTCAAAACAATATATGACAAAGAGAAATAATTATCTGTATTCATTTGCTCAGGCCCTCATGGGAAACTTTAGGGTTCATGTGGAACATGTGATATTTCTGCACAGAAATTTTTTTACTGCCTACAGGACTGAAGTAGTGCAACACAGTGCTCTGCTTGAACTTCTTAGGACTGCTAACAGGGAGGACTCTATAGCTTGCATGAAGTAGACTAGTATTTTTGAGCTTGGTAACCGCATGCTGCTGCAGAGTAGGGGGAGAGCACACTGCTGCTAGCTCTCTGAACAGGAACACGGTATTGCATGGCATAGCACTGATACCAGACCTAGACGTCTGTACTGTATTCCACAGCTTTGGAAGTGTGGAATACAGAAACCTGTTGAAGTTGTCTCTATAGTGACTGACATCCACAAACAGGTAAGGCACTTCGCAGTGTTATGGATCTCAATAAATGGCAAATGGTGAGAAAAGGCTGTCCAAAATCCCTTATTTCTTCCAAAACCCAAGCTTTCCCAATACCAGGAATGACAGAGAAACTGAGACATGGATTGACAGCCTGAAATTATTTTCTGGGTCTCCATTTAAGTATTATCTGTGTACAAAAACCCAGCATACAATTTTAAAGCAACATGTATTTTGACTTCAGTCTAACAAGAACAGAAAATGGTATTTTTCTGGCCAGAAAATGGAGTATCTGGACTAAAAGAGGAAGATTTAGGCATTTTGCAGCCTAAAGAGACTCATGTGCATTACCGTCTCTGTAATATACTGCCCTACCCACACACCACAGACAAGACTGAACCTGGGGTGCTGTGTAATTAAGGGCGTAAGACTGATAGAGCGAGATAAACTCTAACTGCAGTTGAGTCCTCTGATATGAGGTAGTAGTACGGCATTTCATCCCTGATCTCAGTACTGCTGATCATGTTACGTGTTTTGCATCAAAGAATCTTTGGGTATGTTATCCCTGGAGCACTGTGCTTCGAATTACTGAAGAAAATGTATCTATCTGTAACAGCAACTACTAAAATATCAACAAGTACTTTTAACCTACCCATAATATTTTATGTTTCCTTGTAAAAGAAAAGGGGCTGAAAGATCTAATAATTCAAGATCATCTTCTGTGGATCTCACAGGAATAACACATTTAAATCTTTTTGTAAGCTTCCAGACTTCTTTTAGTGTTCCACCTATTAAAACAGAAAAAACATGGTTTTTTAAATTGTAATCAAGAATAAATTGAACAACTTGCATTTCTTGGCTGATTAGGTGTTGATTTCAGGACCTTCAATAAAAATTGAAACCCACTATTCAAAACTGAAAAAATGGTCTATAACCTGCACACTCTTACTCAACAACAGACCAAATAAAGAATCAAAAGACAGACATTTATCAGAGTAGATGTCTTAACATCTTCCTCATAGCTATCACTGTAACCATGAAGTCGTATTTACTTACTGCCACTTTCATATAATTTCTCCTATGATTTTACTAGCAATTTTCTTGGGAAAAAAAAGAATAAAAAGACTTTTTGCAATTGCACCTAAGTAACTTTTTTTTTCAGCTTTTAAGTTGCAAAAATCTATTCATTTTTAACCAGCAGTTTATGAAAAAGTAGTTATTCAACCACATCATAATTGACATGAGGTGAGAAATGCAGAAGCACCAAACTTCCTGCTAATTTGAGTGCTACTAAATTGGGGCCATGCTAGGAACACAGAAGAAATTTAATGTATTACAGCTGGAGCCCTGAGGCTTTCCAATTCCAGTGACAGGAAAAAGTTATTTCAAATTTATCATGAATCACGGGATAACCTGCCTTCAGCCTCTATAGTATGGACTGCAGAACTGATTACAGAGTATTTCTGACATTTCACCAATTCAGTGGAAATGTAATGAATTTATTAATTTAACACACAAAGAAAAGTTATTTGGGAACAGTTCAATAAAAATACAACAACTGAACAACAACTTAAAAAGTGAGCAAACTGTTTTAAAATAAATATATTCTACAACTGCATTTACCAGTAACTATAACTAAGACGTTTCAAAGACTTTATAACAAGTAATTACGACACTGGGTTGTAAATTATTTATCGCATATATTTGTTACTTGTATTGCCAAGGTAACTAGAGAAGAAAATAAAATCGATAAAATTCCATTATTACTGGTGATGAAAAAATGCACAACATGAAACCTCCTCAATTAATTTAAGTTCTAGTAAAAAAAAAAAAAAAAGAGGCCCAGATATTTGAAATGGCTTCTCAAAAAGCTAGAAAACAAAGGTCCTCCAAGTACAGTGACACAGATAAAGCTTCTCCTGTACATCTGAACTCTCATTCACGGTATTAACATATAAAATTCAAGGTAGTTTTAACTGATGCTGCTGAAAAGCCTCCAGAATATCAACCTTGCTGTAATAAGAAGTTACATTAAGCAAACATATTCAGGCTTCTAAGGGCCTGGTATAAAACACAGAGAATTACCAGGTGTTGATGATGATATGAATCACCGTGATTTCATGTACAAATGAGGATAGGCACTAATCTACTTGTTAACCATAACATTTCACTCTTCAGTTCAACTACTCTGTAGCAATGGTTATGGATTCCCCTCACTCCCTGTGAAGGGTCACGTAAAATTCTGTGTGTTATCCAACTATTTCCTCAATTCCAGCCCAATAGATGCCAAACACTCAAAAAAGAAGTCCTTGCTTCAGCATAATGATTATGGGGAAGAATAGAGCATTGTGTTGTAGGAGAGCAAATTCTTTGTGTTTAACAAACGAGTAGAATCTAGACCACGTCTGACTAATAAATGTCATAATGTACTTGGCCTTTGAGGGTTGTCTGTATCTGGGAAAATGCTGGGAGACTTCAAAATCTCCACCTCCAAAAACTTACAGTTAAAAATTAAAGTAGCGTGTAGCTTTGGCCAGGTTCTTGATCAGTGTTCTGGGAAAGAAGTGCTAAAACACTGATTATGCCTTTTACTTTTGTTCCAACATGAAGCACATATATCCACACACATACACACTTAGCTGGTAGAACTTTAATATCTGAAAAAAAGATTTACCACGTTATATTGTTAGTTATATGTATACATGTTATATATATGTGTATATAAGTTACTTTAGGAAAATAAAGTAGAAATAGATTCTTTTCTTTTGTTTTCACAAAGTTAATGTTAGATTAAAAAAAAAAAATCCAGTTTCGAACATGTCAGAAATAAAGTAGCTATCAGAACTGACTGAATATAAAACAAAGCAGAAAACAGAAGGGGTTTTGTCACTGACCCTTACACAAAGGACCACCTGACTTATATTTGCTTATTCATACCACCACTTGAGCACAATTGAAGAGTGTTTTAAACTTGGAATGGTCCTATATGCAATTATTAATTACTTTCATTCTATTCAAAACATTCCTTATTAGTATTCTCGTTAAATTGCTTTGTTTAAAGTTCAGTGGCTATTTCTCTTCCCTGAGGAAATCTGATAGAAACTGAATAAAAAAACCCCTCACGCTGCAAGAAGCTCTATTACTCTGAAACAACACTGACATCCAGAGGCTGACAAAGTTAACTGTAGGCTTGTATTATGAGAAGCCTTTTCCACCTCAACACTAAAACCAGGTTTTTTTAGAAGACTCAGTGAGTCAAATCAGAACTTAAAAACTAGTAAGCACAGCTAGAAAAAAACCCACATATTCAGATGTTGATTGTAGCAGATTCAACAATAAACTTATTGGTATGGTTTTCAAACAGACAGAAGCACTTTACACCACCTTTGCAGATGACTTTTTCTTGTTTGCTGAACAGTAACCTGAAGTTCAGCTAAGCTGTTCTCTTTGAAGATGCCTTTATGATCATCACTACTTACGCTGAGTATCACTTCAACATATCTTAACTTTGTAGACAGAGTGGACACTGTGCCATAAGATGTGGTATATTTGCAGTTTATCTTACCTTCTATCATAAGCAAAGTATCTTCAGGCTGTTGAAGCATTTCATCATGCTTTACAAAATGGATAGCTATTTTCCTTTGTTTCTGGTCTTGTGCAGTCCACGTTACAGAATCATACCAGGATGCATTGCACAATTCTGGGTTTGGGGCAGTAACGGCAGAGCCTTGTAAAATAAGGTCAAAGTCATCTCCATCTGGAACTTCTTGCCTAAAGCCATTTCCAAAACGAATAAGTAAATTCTAACAACTTCTCAAGCCATCTAGCAAAAAGGATGACGGCACGCCAAATAAATATTAAAATATTTTCATTAAATAATATACAGGAAAAATAACTGTGTTGTTATATCAGTTAAACATTTAGGCTTGTATAGAAAATTGTGACAAGAGATTTCATTTCCATGTTAATAAATACGCTAAGTAATCTTATCTTACCCTAGGAGCAGAGGCAGCCTAGGGCTTCATCCACACATATGTAAATCCATGGAAAAACAAATATATCAGCTTCATGTGATTTCAGTTAGGCCTTACTGCATACCACTTCAGAGTGAGAAGAATTTGAATTTTTACGTTCTAGCCTATTTTACTTTGCATATTTTGAGGGGGGAAAAAAAGAAAACAGGGCAGGAGACAGAATAGCTTCACATATGTACCGTAAAAGGAAAATCTGTAACTTTGCACCACTCAGTTTCTTTCTTGTCCTGCTAGAGTGCACCATCCATGCATTTCCAGTTGTCACCCACAGAGAAGTAATGCAGGCCATTCAAATGTTACCAATATTACCAACAACTGGCAAAAAGCACACAAACTAAAAATGCATTAGAATGTTTCTCCTAAGCAAGAGACACCTGCTGGCTTCAGGTGGAATATGAACCGTGATAAGAAGGACAATCAAAAAAAAAAAAAAAAGGCAAAACCTTGGGCTATTTCATAGAACACTGAAAGAAAGTAGGTGCCAAGCTTCAGGGTGGAGCTAAAGAAAAAATACCATCAATGGATTATTCTGACAATTTCACCTTCAAACCCAAGAGCAGCTGCTTCCACCAGTGAATACAATACCTGCCTATGAAACCAAACTTTGATATTCTTCTGCTATGACTGTAGAACTGGCACACAAGAGGTCTTCCTGAACCTGAATTTTCATTTCGTGAACACAATGCTGTTCACATGAACTCTTTCCGTCTGTGTTCCTGGATTACTATTTTAAATGCAAAAGCAACGGACCTAACATAACAGGTATATCTTTCCAGATATATCCATTAAACTCTTCCAGCCTCTACAGCTTGCCTGTAGATTTCCCACAGAGACAGGAATGGAATGAATTGTTTTTGAACTAAGCTACACACGAGGGTTGAAACTTCTGTATGTGGATACATGAATAAACTACATTCACATATATCGATATTTTGCTTTTTACAGAGAAGCTTCCAGTCAAAGTCTAAAAACCAAACCCACATCTCTCACAAGGATTTTATACCCCAAGTGTTATATGCATCTGACTGCATAAAGTGCTAAAGGATCAAACTTGCATTGAACTTTGTCCAGTCAGGCTCTTTGGCATATGCTAAAACATGAAACAACTTCTGCCATAGCAGCACATGTAGGAGAGAAGGTGCCCCTAAATCATGTTTCCTTCCTGAGCCTCTTAACTCACCCCATCCGAGCTGAAGTATGGCTCCAGTATATCTCACTGATTCCTTCCACCTGATGCACACAGTTGAGAAAAGAGAAGCTAAATTTCTGGGAAAGCACTGCAAGAGTCCCATCATTGCAGCAGGATGGTGGTGGTAGTAGTAGGAGGAAATATGCTAACTAAAGCCTCACAAATCCATCTGGTTAAAAGTCTGCCCCAATTCTGTGGCAAAGAGAAGGCAGCGATATGTGAAACAGGAGACCCAAATGAACAAAGACATGAACAAGTCAAGAATACATAAAAAGGCTACAGTAGTAATGGAAAATTGTGGGATAAGGATAAAGTTCATAAAGAACAAACAAAATTCTGTCAATTGTATCTGCTTATTACTATTCCGAGTTGGCAAATATATCAAAAAAGTGACAGAAGTGGCAGAAATAGTTGGTAATTATCTCCTTTTTATACTTGGTAATAAAGACCATGTTCTTGTATTGTGAAGATGATGAAGCACTCCCTCTTAACACTAGCAGCCAACAGAATGTTATACCAACATCTGATAAGGACCAATAATGCTAAAGCTGCAAGCGCGCTACTTTGCATCCAAAAGCTGTACAAGAAGGATAGTAGGGGCATTTTCCTGTCTAAGTAATGTTTGTATCTAATAAATCTTGATATGCAAAAAATTTTAAAAGCCTTGGAGAATTCTAATGTGCCACCATTTAAAGAAAGTAATAGTTTACACCAGTAACAATAGAGCTGTTTGCTTGGGGCTGATGCTAGGCTAAGTCAGGCAAAAAAAAGTGATACAGGACTCAGATGATCATAGCTAGCACTGTAATGCATGTCACTCAAGAGTTTAATCAAAAATACGCCATTTCAAACAATCTTTCTTTCATTTTTAGAGGAATATACACGAGAAATGGCATGTGATTATTTGACTGAGTACTACTTGATACAATGACAAATAGCATTAAAGGGGAAATAACAGGGACAAAATGGTCAGTGAACTGACTCAGGTCAGAAAAAGACAAAAAATACCAAGGTGAATGGTGTTTCCCTGATATTTTTGGATCCAGAAAAGATGCCTTCTCTGGAAGATTCACTTAGTCAAAGATATTTTATTCATTCTCTTGAAGACTATCATAAATTTTTGTACATCCTGTTTTAAAACTGCAGTACAGAAACAGGTACTTAAATACAACTTTGGTATGGGAAAAACAGCACTGCTAAATTTGAAAATAAAGAAAAATTACTGTTTTGAAAGTACTCAAAGGATTCCATAAATGGAACTCACCTGATGATTTAAAGTGTTCCTACCTGTTACCAGTGAGTTTCAAATCTTTGCTCAAAATGAAATACATTTACATTCAGCTCATTTTACACAAAAAATAGGATGAAAATACACAGAAAACCTAGGCATCCCAAAACAGATAGAACAATTCCTAATTACTTTTATTGTGTGAAATACTTACAAAGAATTGCATTTGGAACAATGAAGTTTAATAGACTGATAGAGCTTCTGGGGTTTGTAACTCCTGAGCTTTGCTCTAATGCGATACTGTTGAGGAGCCATGCTGTTCAGAACGGTTTTCAGTTCTGTGTTATTCAAATCCTGATGGTCTGTTAATACTGCAAAATAACACCACAAAAAAAAAAAAAAGGCTATGCATACTTACTAAACACTATAATATTTGGAATATGGGAAATTGCCATTGCAGGTATGCATTTTCCCTTAATTCCCAGCTTCTATTCCCTTTCCAGTTGCAGCCTCAGTTTTACCATTACGACATGTTACTACAGGCTTTAAGGTAAATCACAACAGGCTGCGGGAGCACAGCATACAGAAATCCAAGATACAGGAAAAAAACAAATGAAAGTAGAATATATAAATATGCTCTATTCCTTTAAAAATGGAATAAAACCAATGTAACGTTCATAAACTTATACTCTTAGAATAGCTTTTCCTATAGTAAGTAAAAGATTATTTCAACCTTTGAACTGATGTCTCAAAAATATTTTTGTTCTTTAGTAAAAATAAAATTCACCTTGAGGTCAAAATGTTTCCTACCTGTAACAGGTAACTGCTGACATCTCTGTAAATGTGATTCAATATCTAAAAATCAAGAAGAATTTCCTAATTATTTTCCTTCCCTCTTTTCTTCTTTATCATGTGCACACACAAAAACAGATACATAGGCAGATAGATACACACACAAAACCAAAAGCTGAACAAAGAAAAATGGAAATCCTAATAATGTATGAAAACAATATAGCAAAAGGAAAAAGCAAAGTAAGCAGGAGACAAACATTAGATATCAGGAGTTAATATATTTGAGGAGAAATTAGTGTATGCAATAAATAGCAACACTCATCAAAATGAAAACTTTTCAAATGTATACTGTGAACAATACTGCTAACATAAACTGTATTCATCCCTCTGTAATCTTTCTGGACAAGAGCATAAAGACATTATTCTAAAAACAAAAAGGACTGCTTGGTCCCTCCTCTGAACAACCTCTACTACACGTACACAGCACAGTAAATATGTGCAAAATTCTTTCTAAATTTGCAGTGCTAAGGTGTAGACAGGAAGTATTTATTTATTCTTGACTTGTGCAACCTTTTAGAAATATCCTGTCACAGTATGTTCACAATGGCTAAGTAACATAGGATTTTAAAAGCTCGTAGCAAAGATGCAGACTATGTCCAACCAGCTTTAGGTTTAATTGACTTTTAATTATTCTTATTCTGGGCTAAAAATACCATTCAAAGAATAACATGGAATCTGTAGAACTGTCTGTAAGATTCTACTTTTCCATGGCACTGCACCCTGCAACTCTGCCCCTAACACAATTTCCCATCCAAGGGCTTTAGAAGTGCTCCTCAGCAAGCAGCTGTTTAATATTGTTTTCAGTGCCTGTCTCTGAGGAATCCCCCTTTAGAGGAAGGGAGCTATGTCACTCTGCTTTATGATCTAATATAGCATGATTAAGAACACCATCTATGTTTAATAATTTGTTCACTAACTCCTATGAAAGTATTTTACCATGTATATATAAAGCTTCTGCTGAAATCAGGATAGGGTAATGTCACTTTCCAGTCTAATAACCCAAAATAATTCTCTAAGGCTTTGTATGTGAAAATAACATTATACACTTGAAGAAGCAGTAACTGTGACCTTATTTTGACCACACATATGTCAGAAGCAAGAGCAAACCAGCTTTCAATTGCCCATACCTGCAATGCTGTTAAAAGTGCCGTCTAATTCCACTGAAGACATGCTATCCATACTCTGACTGTCTGCCAGCTCCACAGATTCTAAGAATCTAAAAATAAATGACTAAATGTTTTAGAACCTACAGAAGGTTATGTACATACACACACACGTATATTTATATGGGACTATACATACACTTACTTGAAACCTACTGTTTATAGGTTTGGGTATAATGGGTATAATGTTCAGACATAAATTTTGCAGCAGACAAAAACTCAATTGAGCCAGAAGTTGCAGGAGTGTACTTCAATGATGCAGAAGAGACATTCCTTTCCAAATCACTTCTGGAACTTTAAACACAATATAGTGCCAAAAGAAGTTTGTATGCCTGGAAACAGAATTCCTGATAAAGGAACATGAACTTTGGTTACTTAGTCTTTCCTATTGGGGAAAAAAGAGAGTTTATGACCTTTGGAAGAAGGGGCAGGCAGCTCCGGGGGACTACAAAGATGTTGGGAGGTTATGCATGGAGAAAATTCAAGGGTCAAAGCCCAACTAAAACTTAATCTGGTTATTGCTGTAAAAGACAATAAAAATGTTTCTGTAAATACACTGGCAACAAAAGGAAGACTAAAGAGAACCTCCATATTTGGATGTGGGGGGAAACATGGTGACAAAGAATGAGGAAAAGGCTGAGGTACTTAATGCCTCCTTTGCCTCAGTCTTTAATAGTAACATCAGTCATTCTTCAGGTACCCAGTCCCCTGAGCTGGAAAACAGGGAGCAAAATGAGGCCACCATAATCCAAGGGGAAATGGTTAGCGTCCTGCTGCACTGCCTAGACAGACACAAGTCTATGGGGCTGGATGGGATCCACCCAAGGGTACTGAGGGAGCTGGCGGAAGTGCTCACCAAGCCACTTTCCATCATTTATCAGCAGCCCTGGCTAACCAGGGAGGTCCCAGTGGACTGGAAGTTAAGCAAACGTGATACTTATCTACAAGAAGTGTTGAAAGAAAGATCCAGGAAAATAGACGCCTGTCAGTCTGACCTCGGTGCCAGAGAAGGTTATGGAGCAGATCATCTTGATGCCACCACATGGCACGTACAGGACAACCAGGTGATCAGGTACAGTCAGCATGGGTTTATGAAAGGCAGGTCCTGCTTGACTAACCTGATTTCCTTCTATGACAAGGTGACCTGCTTGGTGGATGAGGCAAAGGCTGTGGATATTGTCTACCTAGACTTTAGTAAAGGCTTTGACACTGTTTCCCACAGCATTCTCCTGGAGAAACTGGCTGCTCATGGCTTGGACAGGTGTACTCTTTGCTGGGTAAAAAAACTGGCTGGATGGCGTGGTCCAAAGAGTGGTGGTGAATGAGTTCAATCCCGTTCGCAGCTGGTCATAAGAGGTGTTCCCCCAGTTCTATTTAGTATCTTTATCAACAAACTCAATGAGGGGGTCGAGCATACCCTCAGGAATTTTGCAGATGAAAGCAAGTTGGGTGGGAGTGTTGATCTGCTTGAAGGTAGGAAGGCTCTGCAGAGGGACCTGCACAGGCTGGATCAATGGGCTGAGGCCAATGCTATGAGGTTTAACAAGGCCAAGAGCCGGGTCCTGCACTTGCGTCACCCCATTCAGCACTACAGGCTTGGGGATGAGTGGCGGGAAAGCTGCCCAGAGGGAAAGGACCTGGGGGTGCTGGTTGACAGCCAGTTGAACATGAGCCAGCAGTGTGCCCAGGTGGCCAAGAAGGCCAACAGCATCATGGCCTGTATCAGAAATAGTGTGGCCAGCGTGAGTAGGGAGGTGATTGTTACCATTCGGCACTGGTGAGGCTGCACCTTGAACAGAGTGTTCAGTTTTGGGCCCCTCACTACAGGAAAGACGTTGAGGTGCTGGAGCATGTCCAGAGAAGGGCAATGACACTGGTGAAGGGTCTGGAGGACAAATCTCATGAGGAGCTGCTGGGGGAACTGGGCTTGTTTAGCCTGGAGAAAAGGAGGCTGAGGGGAGACCTTATCGCTCTCTACAACTACCTGAAAGGAGGTTGTAGTGAGGTGGGTGTCGGTCTATTCTCCCAAGTAACAAGTGATAGGACAAGAGGAAATGGCTTCACGTTGCACCAGGGGAGGTTTAGATGGGATATGAGGAAGAAGTTTTTCACCTAAAAGGTTGTCAAGCATTGGAACCAGCTGCCCAGGGAAGCGGCTGAGTCACTGTCCCCGGGGGCACTTAAAAGACCGTAGAGGTGACGCTTAGGGACATGGTTTAGCACTGGGCTTGGTAGTGTTAGGTTAACAGCTGACTCAATGATCTTAAGTGTCTTTTCCAACCTAAATGATTCTATTATTCTTTATATATATAATGCACTTCAGTATAGCATTTATATTATATGCTTCAGGTTGAACATCTTTAAGTCTCACCATTTCGAAGTAACACATAGGCACATGCTTAAAATGTGCTCAATTTATTTGCTTAACCATAGCTTTTATCTTTAAAGGATTATATGCCACTATAAAACAGAACAAGTATGTTAATATGCCCAGGCCTTATTATTACAGCACTACAAAATGGAAATCTTAATCCCTACTGTATCTTAAATTTGAAAAATTAGCGTTTATTTACCTATCCCCACAAATACTTACTCTTCATCACAGTGATGCTAAAGATACATTCTATTCCAGAGTTTCTGGTTCTTACATACGTTTACAATTCTAAACTATACAGTTGTTACATTAGAGTTTTCTAGAATCATCTAGACAAAAAACTACATATAGAACTTACGCTTTTAGTTCCTTAACATCCGGGTTACTTTCTGGCAAGACTCCTATTCCTCGACCATAACAGGTGCCACCATGAAGATGAAATTCTATGTGAGAGACATCATTGTCAGCACTTGCTTGTTTCGTATGAATACTGTAAATTCTCAGAAAACTTCCAATCTTAAAGAAAAAAAAAAAAAAAGATAATACAAAGTCAGTTATTTACTTGGAAAATTCCAGGCCTCAAAAAGCTTATTCGCTGTTTTCACTGAATCACAGAACAGCCGAAGTTGTCAGGGACCTCTGTAGACTGCCTAGTCCAACCCCCATGCCCAAAGCAGAGTGAACTAGAGCAGGTTTCTTAGGGCTGTCTCCAGCTTGTTTTTTGAAGGCAGAGCCTCTAAAACCTCTCTGGGTGACCTGTTTGTTTTGCTTTATCAGACAACATTTCTGGCAGTAAAGTTTGATTCAGAACCAGCACAAGCCTTCTTATAAATTTGATTCTCAAGCAGACTTCAGAAGACAGATCAAACGAGCCTTTCCTGAGGGCACAATTTGTCTTCTATATCCACAACACAGCCCTCCAGAGACCGACGTGCTATGATTTGTCCATGTTTGATTGCACTCAGCAATTGACCTCATGTTCATAACCATGAATGGCCTATTATCTGTTTATGTATACACGGAAACACACCTGCGTACCCAGATTTCCTTATCATCCTCTTACTTGTACTTTACAAGTAACATTTTTTCAGCACCAGGACAAAAGGCAATACGCGTTAGAAATTCAAAGATTTTGGCACTGTTCCTAACTGTTAGATTCTCCTCTCAGATACATGGAGACTATGCTTCTTGTTTTACTTAAGAATTATTTTGTATTCTCTGAAACAGTTTGGTGAACTTACAAAAATGGACTTAGGCTAATTTATACTAGTACCTATTAAGAAAGAAGTTATGGAATGTTGAACATAGAACACATCTTTGTAACTTTGCTTTTACTTCAAAATACCACTCCCATTATCCCTCCTCCCCACCACTGCAAAAAACTCAAACCAAAACCAAGTGTCTCACTGTAGATAATCTGGAGACTTAATTAAATAGTTCATTCCTTGATGTGTTTTAAAGGCCTTTGAATCAAATTAACTAGCACCCAAATATTCTTTTAAAGTGTAACCTATAGCTGGCAATCTACACACATTCAATAACCTGGATTTATGTTCACTCTAAGTATCCTTTAAATAGCCCTATATAAATGATAAATTATTTTCAATTTACTTCAATTAACTTTAATATTACAGCAACCAGTCTGTTAAGTCTTATTTCAGCTTCAGCTCCCACTTTAACCAGCAGAAACCTAAAAAGTATTTCTGTCAGATTGGATTGTCCAGGTCTTAGTACACCACTTATAAATGTGCGTGTATATATATATATATATACACACACACACACATATATGCGCATAAAAGCAGATAGAGCAGCATCCTGATTCTGGAATCCTTCTCTGTATCAACGAACATGCTATGACTATATAATGCTGGTATCAAACTGCTCTTTTAAACAATAATCACACATGAAAAAGGCAGCATATTTTCAAACTCAGGCATCAGGGACATAAAAAGTGCACTTCAGCCCACATCTATTTTGCTGCTGGCATGGAGCTCTTACCAGAGTTTTAATTGATCTGCACCATTAGGGGGCTGCTCGGTTTGTTAATTCAAAGCATATCAAGAGGACAGCTTGTGCATTTAGACGGCAGTTAAGAGGCTTCTCTGAAGGCTTTTTTTTTTTTTTCTTTTCAGATGTTAAATTTCACTTAATTATGTTGAATATCTAAAAATGCAAGGGACAGTCATATTAGAAAACTAATCTAATGACTATGACATGCTTTTGGAGAAAGTTTTTTTTTTAAAAAAAGTTCTTAGCTAAGTTCTGCTTATCAAATAACCTTGTCAATAAAATAGTGCCAAACAACTACTTTTTTCCAAGAGTAATTTGTATATAAGCAGGAAAAAGTCGATTATAATTGAGGAATTTCTTTCTTTCAAAAACAATGTATGAAAAAAAAAGTATTTACTACATGTATAAACACAAAACATTAAACATGGGAAAGGAAAGCCCAGAAGCTAAGAATACAAAATGCTGATTTTGCCTTCTAAACTTGTGTGCTGAAATTCATGCAAAAGTCAACTGCATTACATGTTTCAGTGCAACATTCAACTTCCCCAAATTTATGACCACTATAAAAATATATCTTCCTATTTTTGCATTTTATTAGATCCCTTTTCTGAAAATGTCATTATTTTATATATTTTAATATCACTTAGAACTATACTAAGGAGATTTGTTATAATCAGCATTGCCAAATAGTGAAAAAGCCCGGAACGTTACGAATGCCACCACAGAGCAGCAGATCCGACTGTGCAAGACGAGCGCAATTTTCGTGGATTCCTTCGGGAGGCAGCATTGCTTACTGTTAACAGCGGCAAGGAAACCGGGGTGTTAGGGCTAAAAACGTTACTGTATTTCTGTCGTTTACAGAATACCTGCAGACGGAGCACACTTTATATACTTGACTGAGAAGAAATAATAATCTACATCAAAGTAAACACCGTGATTTACAGAGCCATCACTAAAATCTAGTACAAAACGACTCCTTACCTGGCTTTACAGCAGTTCTGTTTATGAACTACCTACCTCATTTAGAGCAAGTTCATTTAAAATTAAAGCAGTAAGAACACATTTCTCACAGTAATATAAAATATATTAATACCTCATTTTCAGTCTAATTCAAATATGATTATTTTAAAAATATATATTAAGGTTAAAAAGAATTAAAATGAAGAAGTCATACATGCAGTTCCCTGTAACTAAGTAAAAGAACTTCTTAGTGTAGCAAATTCTCATAATTATTACAAAACATATAGGGTTGTGTTCACGTTTAAGACACTGATGAATTAGGAACAGTCATTTATCATGGCAGTCAAATGTTCAGGTTTGGCCAGAAATACACTCATGACAAGAGGCTGCCTTTCTCCACAGGAACCACCTCACAAAATAATCTGTACTAATTTCTATGCCTATTTTATGGCCGATGATATTCAACAAGATTTCTTTGTCATCATTTTATCATATCAAGGGTTTAATTTTACTGAGTAAATTGTGCACAACGTTTTGCAAATGAGAGGAAGCACACACACAGCATCTGGGTGTGGGCCTTTCCAATTTAAAAAATACCAATTTAAATCCATTAATGGTTTGGAGGACTTCGGGGTGGGATGGTGGGGGTGTTGTGGTTTGTTGCTGGGGTTTTTTGCTTGTTTGTTTTCTTTTAATGAGTACAAAGACAGAAGGGGGGAAAATACCACTGACAGTCAAAGGAATGCCACCCAGGCCTGAAAAGTCAGGAGCTAGATATTATAGTCATGTAACTCATTTAGGTTGGAGATATGACTTGGACACTTGAAAAGCAAGCAAGCCTTCTTAGTCCAAACTGCCACCAAAAAAGACAGACAGTGTATACAGCAGGAGGAACAGCTGAAAATATTTAAATTCTGCATCTGAAGATACATTCACAAATACTGTGAAACTACAGATGAGGACTTGTATGCATGCTCAAGGTTCATTGTTTTAATTGTACTACCCAGAAAACACATGGCAACACAAAACTGATGGTACCAAGCCATAAGAGGAACGCACAGTACTGTCTCGGAAAATGGGATAATATGCTCATATCTTCAAGTGTCCTTTGGACAGACAATCCAAACAGGGAACTTTTAACAAACTCTTGCAGGAATATCCCTGACACTGTGCTCCAGGATTTGCTAAAAATTCACTGTAATAAATTAACCACTTTCTCTAGAGTCTAGTGCTTACTCAGAGCCTCCGTGTCTGAACATGTGCCTATAGACACAATTTATAAATAAGAACAACTATTTCAGTTGTGGGTTTTTTTTTTCCAATATGCCCTTCTTAGTATCAAGGTTGCATAAAACAGATTGTTCATACATAAAACATCATTTCAGATCTGCAACTGTGATTGCAAATGGTACACAGCAACATGCAAGAATGTAACCTAACAATTCCATAACAATTTACATTAAAAAAGGCAATTCTAACCTACTGTGAAATGCAGAAGAGATGGCTGAAAAATAGTGCATTTTTATTGTTTTTGAAACCATAAACTGGCAAAACATCTAGTACAGTTTCTGTTCGCACTGTCGTCATGTTCACACTGGAGAACGTGCACATGTATACACTAAATGCTCTCCAGTTTTATACTTCTACATAAAAGATTAAATTTTTTTTTTTTTTGCATAACCAAACCCTGAACTAAATAAAATATTATACAGATTAATATAGAGTATTTCAATTATATTTCCTTATGATATGACATGATTTCCACTAGTATTTAAAAATAAAACTTTTAATAAATTTTCCATGTTAGTAACAGTCCCCAAAAATTTTATTATCTTTAGATTATTTTGCGAAATAAAACTCCATGTATTGCAACCCGAACTTAACTAACCTTCCTGAAGTTTAACTGTTAGGATATCAGCACTTTTTCTTCAAGACCTCCACTAAAAAGTGGTGTTCAAAAATGATCTAACTTAAAACTTCTACAGCTTGCGTAAGAGAAACTACTCCAACTTTGGACACAGACAGGAGAAAAACAGCCTGTGTGGCTCAGTACATCAAACCAGGTTTCTGAACAGTTTCCTTTGACACTAGAGCTTCTGCTACACAGTGCAGTACCCAGCAACGGCACAGATGCTTTAAAGAAAGAAAGGGCTTACGGGAAAGAAATAAATTGAGAAAGCTGACAAAGACATCCCACTTACCACATATTCAACAGGAATTACTGAATATAAATAGGAAAGAGTAATAAAGGGAATATCATCAGCTACTCAAGAAAATACGCTTCATTAATATTAAAATATTTTCCCCCTTAATTTCCAAAACACGTTGCTTTACTGGAACATCAACAGTTATTTCTATCAACAGATTACACCAGTTAGGAAGAGAAAAATTCTGGAAGACAACCTGTAAGTAACAAAATACTTCTGTGATTAAGTTTTATTATGAATTCTTACAAGAAGGCAAGTTATTTTGCTATCTGTCATTTACTTATGAACAGGTATTCACATATCAAATTGATTTCATGTATGCTGATAGCTCCAGCCTAAGAAACTACTATCACTTTATTTTCTGGTAAACGTTTTCTTAAAAACAATGCTTGGGTATAGAGGGCAAGGCATAAAATGCAAGATGTATTCTTTGCTAATTTACTGTATTCAGAAGCAAGATGGCAGTATTGCTGAAGATCAAATGTTTAATTATGTTGTTGTTTTCTCTACCTAAGCATAATCAACATTACTGACCCGCTAAATGAAGATTGCACTGCAAATTGCAGAAGTTTATAGAACAGAAAATCTTTTATTGACTTCAGAATTACAGGCCTTTAATGGGACTACAAGTTTAACCCCACTGTATAATTTAAAAAATATTCTATAGCATAGAATACATTTTCTGAATACGTTATTTTCACAGGATTATATATGATATTACAGTGTCTGGAAAGAATTGTTTAATTGGAAATAATTTTTTTTCATGGCAATTTTAGGGTAATGAGGCTGTTTTAGACATGTTGAAGGAGTTTTGCATTCAAATGAAAGGTATGGGAAACAGTGAAAGATAAAGAGGAACATTTGAAACTAATTAACAGCAGAACTGAATTGATACATTCTCTGAAGTAAGTTCTAAGCAGAAAATAGGCCACAAAACAAGAGTTAGAAATACCAAACTGTGCATTACCTTAAGTGATTTTGCCAGTTGTACATGGTTATCATAGACTAGAATGTCCACCGTTAGATTTCGCAGCTGATGAAGAACAACTTTTTCTCCTTCCAGGTCTCCTGCTTCCACAGGCACCTTCCATGTTGGGTAGGGACATTTTGTGCCATCCCACACCTGCAATGCAAATGAACTGCTTCAGTATGCTCAGAATACTTTAGATTGAGATTTTAAATAATTTTTTTTTTTTAAAAAAACAAATTTAGTGTTTGATTAAAAATTGATAACAATAAGAAATCTTAATTGGAGTCTCAGTCTTAAAGTCCTTAAATTACTTAAATTAGATTTTATGGGATTTTTTTTTATTATGATTATTCCTTACAGAGTATAAAATAACCTCTATAGAGAATATGAATGACTTGTGAATTGTTAATGTTAAAAAAAAAATAAAATCAGCACTAGCAAAACCTCAATTGTTTATTGAGCACTTAGAATTCATCTTATGCAGAACTGTCTATATTTAGTATTTTAATCACAGAATCATAAAAATAGTTTGGGTTGGATGGGACCTCTAAAGGTCATCTACTCCAGCCCCCCCCGCAATGACCAGGGACATCTTTAGCTGGATCAGGCTGCTCAGAGCCCTGTGCAACCTGGCCTTGAATGTTTCCAGGTATGGGGCTTCTACCACCTCTCTGGGCAACTAGTGTTTCACCATCCTAAATCCAACCTAATCCTCCTATAGGGTTTTTTTTAACTACTCCAGGTACAGTATGTGAAGACTGAGTCCATCGCACATACTCCCTCAATTACTGATGACTTCCAATGTAAGGATATGTTGCTAGTTATCCAGAACACATTATAAAAACATTGATATTTAACATATACTTAATAACAGGGATTCTAAAAATTGTTTGCCTAAAGCTGTGTTCTTGATACACTTAAGTATTGAAGTATCAGTAGTTATTTTTGAGCTATCAAAGTTATTGTGAAAAAGTAAGATTACCGATAGTCTTTGCACTTTGGAACCAAAAATCTTACTATTTAAACCAAACATTAAAATTTCAGTCACTGTTGCTTACGATATGTTCTATAAACTATGGTTTCCCAAGTTCCTGAAGACATACTTTGCTCAAAGACAACAGAAATAATGGCCTGAAATAAAGGCATAGAAAAAGAAAACTCTAGACCCATTTCGACTCCAAGACTGAAATGCTGCATTTCATAGAATTTCATGCATATAGGTTCAACATAAGCTAATTTTCAGACAGTCTGTGATACCGAGGCATTTTGTCCCATGAGTTAGGCACTGCAGAAGGGGAGAAAAAAAAAAAGACACCAAAGCTTAATTTTTAAGGGGTTTCTACCCCTTATGTTTAACTGCTGTGGATCAAAGCCATGTGTAAATACACTGAGAATAACTCATGGTTGAAATACTCATCCCAAATCATGAGATAAAAGGCAACACTCTTCACAGTGAAAGTGACCCATAACATCAAATTAATGTTCCCAAATAAGAGTGTATTCTGAAGGACCCAGATAATGAGGTGTACATGCTGCTGCAGATTAAAGAAAAGCCTATTATCGCCTGATCCTGTACCATGAAATACTTAAAGCCACCTTTGAAAGAGGTGTTTCCCATTGCTTGCATTATCAAACCTTTGCCAGAACTAAGCTTGAGAAACAGATTTAGTGCATGTATATTATGAATTTAGTCACTTTGACAAAATAAAGAATCTTGAGTTTGTCAAGTTTCCCATTATTTTTCAACTGGCTTTAGTTGGGATACTTTGGTAGTTCTACACTTAAAGAGATGGACCTGACAAATGGATTGAAATAACCTGAGTGCTCCCTAACAGAAAGATAACTACTTAGCTTTAAAATGTTCCTTTGCCAGAGGAACTAACAGGGCTAGCATCAGGGCACCTTTGGAGGAATTTGTAAGCCAGCAAGTTTTCTTTACAAGGAAAAAAAAAAAAAAAAAAATCCTTAGAAAAGTGGTTGGTTTTGGTGTTTTGCTTGCACAAATATGAAAACAGATGAAGCCTGCTATTTCAGGAGCTTGACAACTTCACTCAGATTATGGATGAAAACACAGAAGCCCTGGTTTCAAAACCCAACACTGGTCTAAAAACCAACACTGATTAAATTTTGTCGATAAGAAACAGCAAATGGTTCCACTACTACTCATGAACTGACTGGAGCTAAGGAACAGTTAGTGACAACCTTTGATCACCAGGTTGGCAAAACACTGAAACGGCAGAGACAGAATGAAACATGTTTCTCCCTTCAGCAAAGTATGCTAATTGTACAACATAGCTTAACGCAGACAAATCAACTGGCAGACAGAAGGAAAGAAAAGAATAATAGTAAATTGAAAGAGGTGTTAATAGTAAAACTCCTATGAAAGGCATAAATGACAGAATAATTTCTAGCATGCGTTTTTGAGTCTCCATTAGCTTGAGTAACAAAATTCTCAGAAAAAGGTAAGCACTAACTATTTAGAGACACCACCTTTATGCCATATCAGCTTCAGGTGCTGTGCATATCCCAATTAATTTATCAAGTGTAATATTAAAAGTTATGCTATAGGTGATGCACAAAATCACTGAAATTCATTTTAGTTGTCTTTGCAGCAATCCCCACTAGTTATATGAGCTCAATGCTTAAGATAATCACTATATTTTATAGTAGAATTGACCACTAATATAGTGGATAAACTTGGAATTACACGATAAATTTAAATCATTATTATAAAATGTATTACCAAAATAATATAATAATATTTAATGATGGTATTAGATTTGGGGGTTTGTTTGTTTAATGAATCAAGAAAATAATCAGAGAAGTCTACAATTTTTTAAAAAGGCTTCTCTTCTATCACAACCAACAGTTGATATGAGAAATGGATTTTGCCATTCTTGAAAAAAATGGAGGAATTTAACAACAGCTTACTAGTGTTAATCTACCATTTCTAGCTTGTCTGATGTATTTTAATATGGATTTAATGATTTAATATTTTATACTACTGAACTTAATATTTTATATTACTACTACTGTCAAAGGAATTATGTATCAGAAAAATTGATCTACTGTTTACTTGATTTCAAACTTTACCTTCCTAAGTCTACCCTAAGCTTTTCCCCCCAAGTCATTATCTTTACTATACAAAACTGACAAAATTGACTTCAGATCTTACAACACAGAAAAGAGCATAAAGAAATATTAATAATTTAAGAAAGCACCTGTTTCTGTCCTTGCAAAGGGTCCTTCAATGCTGAACATATGCTTATTAATGAACAACTTAATTACAGTCCACCACGTTCTGAAATTTTACTGTGTCTCATAGACATCTATTTCATAAGGGATAATTAAATGGAAATATTTGTAACAACTGAAAAGCATATTATAGGATGACACTTAAGGTTTGTTTCTACGTAGTGCATGCATTGTTCTGCATGAAAAAAAAATCTTTGCTGGTTTAATGAAGGACTAACGCAGTGTGCTGTTTCTGAAAATGTTGTAACACTACAGCTTAATAAAGCAGAACCAATAAATAATTTTATGAAGTCATAAAATGGAAAATAACAGGCTGTTCATCAACATATAAAAGAAAGAAAAAGAAATATAGAGGAGTTTCCGAATAACACCAGACTGACACATCTGGAGATAAAACCAGGAAAATTATGCAGACGACCTTTTTATCTAGCTGATGTTACGAATCACCCTTGGAAAGTACCCTCTTGTGTGGCACTTTGCATTTTATACTTTCAGTGAGCACTGATCCCCAAAGTGCTTATGTATAACTAAAAGCAGCTACCTAAAATCCATCAAGATAGATAACATAATGCATTCATTCATTAATTTTCTAGATCGTGCTACTTACTGCATTAATTATATCCAGCAGATCTAGAAAAATGAGCAATAATTGCTAACTAACAAACAAGGTTAAAATTTAAAAGTAACAATATTTTTCAACTTCAAGAAATCTTGCAATATTTATCTACAAGTGTTTGTGAAATGATGATCCAGACCAATGCAATCTTACAAAAGCACTGTAAAGTAATCAATCAGATGAACAACTTCAAAGAGAACTGGGATTTCTGTTTTGATTTCATAAAAGTAAAATGGTCAAGGATCAAAAATTTGCTTAACCTCAAAATATTTATCTACATAACATATTTTAAACAATGACTATGTCTGTTTTATCAAAAACTGAATCAAAGTATCTTAATAAATAAATCTAACAAATTATTTTTAAAAAATAAATCTACCTTTAGAAGAAAAGAAGATCCATCCACTTTTGCTTTTCCTACCAGCTGGCAAGTGAGATCAAAGAACAGCATTGGCTGAACACCAGACAATTTTGCTGCTGGTCCAGAGATGGAAAGATTACTGGCTGCCCAAACACGTAATTCTTCTATTGTTTTCTGTTCTTCATCCATGAAAGTGTACACTTTGCTAGAGGTTCGAGGAACTACTGGTGCTCCTACAGTTCCATCAAATGTCAAAGATGCAAATCCCACACTGGTAATTCCCTGCATCTGCCCATTGTATTCCCTGATCTGTAACAAAATAAAAAAAAAATAATAATAAATGGTTGCACTGCACTGAAATATACACGTTTCTTTTTCACCAAGTGCATGAAGAATGGACCACTGATCATTTTTTTTCCTGGTGCTACTAGAACGGAGTCAAAGTAAAAACATATCAAAAAAAGGAAACCAACATTATCAAGACAACAAAAGTGAATAAGCAGAAAATACAATCTAATAGCCAAAAAATTTTAAAGAGGTAAACTAACACCTACCTGTAAATATTCAGCATCACTGCAGAGTATCTTATTTGCTAATCTCAAAATGTTTGTGTGGGGAACACACCAGGATTACTTTTACAGATAGAGAAACTGAAGTACAAGAGAAATTAATTTTTAGGGGTCACACAGAAGAGCGATGGTGAAGCAAAGTTATTACGGATTCCTGTATTCTGTCTCACAATAGCCCTCTTTCCTGATATTAGGGAAGTGAAAAAGAACATACCAGTTCTATGAGCTTTTTTATTTTCTTTCCATAAAGCAAACAGTGACCAGCTTTCATCCCTTGAATTATGAATACAGCTTTCACAATGACTCTTACGCCTACTGCCCTGCACATGGCAGGTCCCCTGTATCCTGCTGATTTAGCTGAGTATCTGCTACCATATAAAACACAGTGTTCTAAGTCTGAAGCATTCCTTCAAGGATCTAGTCTAGTTTTAGTGTTCCCTGCACTTTATTTATATCTATATCTATATCTATATATATATATCTCAAAGTACTGCATGACTCGTTATCCAGAAATCTCAAACTGGCTGTTTTGATCCATCTCTTTTTAATTAAAATCTACTTACCAAAAAAGAAACAAGACTTCTGAACACAGCATTTGTGAGACAATCTAGTTTAGAATTCCCAGTGCTCAATTTTCAAATGTTTGAAAATCTTACTGATTTAAAAGTGCAGAATCTGAAAGATGAGTCAGAAGTGCTAAACAGCAACATTTTTGACCAAAACATTGCCAACAATTTAGGCCTATATTTTATAAACACACTGAAATTTAAAAAGCACACAAACCAAGTATTCCTTGGAAATTCATAAACAAAGCAGTTCAATCTTGGTGACAGGAACTCCTTTAATCCCCGTTACTTTGACCTAACGCATAAATGCATTAAGAATCATCTCTAGGATAAACTTTCATTTACTTAGGCATTCTCCACACCTGACCAATGGTGCACATTAATTAATGATGCAGCTTTTCTTCACCGTAACACTGAAAAGCTTTAGCTTTTTAAGCTTTACTTTTAAATATTGAAAATACAAGAAAAGCTAATGGACAAATCAGCAAAATACATAGTTTCATAATCAATTCATGCCCATTACTGATGATCTGGAAAAAAATGTTCTGCTGTAACACTAAGATGTTACCTAACACAAACACACAGATTTACTTTAGTTACTGCCACTGGCATTATGTTCCATAGCTTCTCAAAATAGGTAACATCCAGAGAGGAGGTAAACTCACTTTCATCATTTTACTTATTCATCCGCTATCAAAAGATAATTCAAGCATATCTTTAAGTATCTTGTCTGACATGTCAAATGTTTCTTAAAGTGTTTTAATTTCCAATTTACCTACTTGCCTTTTTCTTCACTAATTCTTTTAAATCATCATCAAAATATCTTGACTTCTTTCTTACTAAAAATTCTATCCTAGTCCTCTAGACTATTTATGAGGGCTCTATGCTTTTCAGGAAATCAGTTCAAGAAACTACTTTGTCTCCCTGGGCTTCCACTAATATTTCACCATAGACTATTTTCCCCATTTCCAAAATCCTTTGTCATGTTTTGAGCATTCATGAGCTGTGCTTGAACATACTGTACATCTCACATCTCCTAGCACCTTCATTTAGTGGATTTGGCATCAGCCTTAATGTAGGGAAGGACAGTTATAAAATAAGAAAAGAAACAAAATATGTAAGAAGGTAAACCTGAAGTGTCACAATGAGAAAATTACCAATGATCTTGAAGCAGAATCAAATATCCTCAGGCATAGGTATACGGAGAAGCCACTGAGTGGTCTCAAAGGTAAACAGCATTCAACAACATTATTTAGTGAACAACTGAACAAACAGGAAAAGTAAACCTAGAATGGATTACAGAACAAAATATTTCATAGCTGGAAAATTACTTATGTCAGACCCACAGAACAGATGACGGTCAATAGAAATTCTTCGGGCTTGTGCTTTAAAAACAAATCATTGCTGAAGTCATGGAGTGTAAAATGAATAATATTGATGGGCAACTGTTGTTTCATAATGGCACTCTAAGTAGATCTCAGATAAAGTTAAGCAGTGATACTGTAAACTTGTTATATTTTCCACACACAAACGATTTTGAAATTAAATCAAACTTAGGGAAAAGAGCTAAGCTGAGACTTTTGGATATGATGACAATTCTCCCTCAGTAGATTTTGTGTCATTTCTAAAGGCATTGGGGATTTTTTAAAAAATCATGGGGGAAGAGAACAAGGAAGGGGGGCAGACAGCTATCACTTAAAAAATTCCTTGAGCATTTTAAAGAAAGTCAATAAATAAAAATTGTTAAACAAAAACAGAGCAGATACAATGTATTTGGCTTGTTCTAAGCAGGCAAGTAAATTCCAATACATATTGCAGGAGTCTTTGGCGTAGTTTTTATAAACTAAAGAACAAAAGGTGAAATGTCACCTTAAAAAACTGCGTGGACAATAAACTTTAATGATTTCTATGATGTACAAGTGTATCCTGAATGTGCTAATTGAAAAGAAGCTAATCTTGACATATTTATAAATAGATTTACAGCAACCTAAACCACTTCAATTAATGCGCTTGGGTTTTTTTAAACTGAATAGTGTTATTCACCTCACTCAATGGAAAAGTGTGATAGTAAGTAGAGTATTAAGCTGGAATAATAGCATCTCCAAGGCAGTTTTACATCAAAACTGATTATTAAATTGGAGAAACAAAGGACTATTACAAAACCACTGCAGTCACGGATCATCTTAGAATATCAAAAAAAAGTCTTGTAAAACAACATATACTAAGCTAATGTACACATTCTTATACTAAAAAAGAAGAATTCCTAAAAGAAATTTAACCATTGATTTGTGGAAGGAATCAGGAATTCAAGACAGTATTTTGAAACATGAGCATATTAAGCTTAAAACTTTATTATTATTTATACATATAAAATTATTTCAAGACATCAAGTTGTGTTGAGGTTCTTTTTTTGGTTTTCTTTTTTTTTTTTTTTTTCTTAAATTATTGCACCCTCTGAAATGCACTGTCCAAACTTCTATTCCAATCTGAGTATATATTCTGCTGAAGACCTCATTGTTAGGTATTTTTTACCTAAGCAGAAGTCAAAAACTTATGATCCTTGTGACTCACAGCTGACACAAAATAATAGAAGATCCACATTCGTATGCTGCTACCCAGTCTCCCCTCAACTGCAGAAATGTGAGATACTAGTGAAAAGGAAAGACAATTGCAAAATTGTCTACAGGCAATGTATCTGCAAAGATTATAGCTACTGTGATGAGCAACGTATTCCCCACAGTTAAATACATGCCACTCTGACACCCCAACAGGGTTCGGCTGACACAGAAGCAAGATATCTTGTCCAAATAAGCAGCAGCAAAAAATTCCCCTCCTCCTCAAACACAGAATCTGATCACAAGCCTCCAGGAGCAAAAAATGTTATGAAGGTATAGACAGGGTTAACAAATGGCTGTACTGAAAATGGAGACTGTCTGAGTACTAGAAATGTATGGCCCAGTCACAGAACCACAGGAAGCTGAGTTGGCAGGGACCTTGGGAGATCATGAAGGAATTATAAAGGGCTAAGAAGAGGATCAAAGTTAGGAGTAAGACCTTTGGAGATGTTAGAGTAAGAACTTTGGCAACATAAGAATGATTTCAGTTCTGCAATCTGGAAATTTAAATTTTTAAAATTAATGCAGAAACAGGAAATTCTTGCTTTCCATTCTGAGTGTCACATAGTGCAGGGGCGGGGGGGG